ACACACACACACACGCACACACCCACGCACACACACGCACAGAGAGAGAGAGAGAGAGAGACAGACGGACAGACGGACGGACGGACGGACGGACAGACAGACAGACAGACAGACAGACATGTGTATATATATATATATGTATATACACAAACTTAAATAGATTCTATATCTACATGACTGTATAGGTGTATACATACATATACATATACCTACACCTATACGTAGTACCACAGACTTACCGACACGCGTGTGCACGTACACATACGTGCACGTATGCAGGTTCACATGCATGTACACACACGTGCATGTATCTGCATACATTTGTACGTACCTGCGTGCATACGAATATCATGTGTACACAAGCTTATGTCAAAGCACACACGCATACACACACTTATACATACATGCATGCATGCAAACAGGCGCACACTTACATACATCCATACATGCAGACAGAGAGATAGATAGACAGCCAGGCAGAGACTGACAGACATATGTATGTGTTTATATGTGTGTATGTGTTTATGCATGTATGTATGTATGTGTGTATGTATGTATGTATGTATGTATGTATGTATGTATGTATGTATGTATATATACGTGTGTGTGTGTGTGTGTGTGAGGGTGTGTTTTTATGTCGGATCCAGGACCCGATCGATGTCATTGAGCTGGGAGCCCGGCAGCGATCGGTTGGATCTATCGTTCGCGTGAAGACTCTTGGTTACATGCGAAGTCCTATCGCGAATCTCCATTGCAAGTTGAAGCGCCCTCTGTAGACCAGGATCCTGGGAATCCTTGCCATGATTGACGATGATGAGACAGATTGGAAAGTCTTGACCATTGCCCTGGATGACGATAAAGCACCGATCCTATGATATCCTATGTCTGTGCTGTGGAAAGAGTGTTTCCTTTGCCAGCGATGTCGGGGAAGATTGCCCGGCCCAGAGAGCTATAATCATAAAGCCAACAGCTCAGGATAGTGCATGACCTCAACGATGTCGAGGCTCATTGGCCCGGAGCGTTGCGGTCCCTAACGGAGTGGCTGAGGATGCAGCTGACCTGCAAGATCTGCAAGCAAGTGGCGGCTTTGCACTCCTGTGGGCAGCAGCTTTCAAGTTTTCCATGCCTGTCGCCTGTCGCGGTGCTGTGCACTAAGTCACTGAGGTACAAAACGGCAGAGGGCAAGAAGGAAAACAAGTTCGGCTTTGCCGGAAAGCCCCAGAGTGCAGAGTTTGCTAGACAGGTGGTAGTCGTTCGGCGCAGAATGTACAAACTTGCTGCTTTTCGACTTGTAGTTGATACTGCCGAAGGTGTCCCCAGTATGGGATCATACCGAAACTGAGGAAGAAACTCACCAAGCCTGGAAAAAGCTTCTGGTGGATGCAAGTGCAAAGGGCAAGATGAAGAAGGTTGTCAGTGGCCCCGATCTCTATACTGAGCTCGCTCTCGGAGCTTCCCAGTCAATGCAGCCTGCTCCGGCTTGAAAAATGTGACTCCCTTCAGACAGGAGCTGTTGCCTTTTAACGGAGGAGAACCGGCTGTGATGCTGGTGACTGCATGTTATACTGCATGTTGTTTTCCTCCGAGCAGCGGTGCTCGGCATGCTCTTCCATACGAGTTTTGTAGATATTTGTAGATTGTAGATTAGGGTTTTCGCTTGCTGGATCTCTCCCGAAGTGGAGTGTTGTATCCTGCTGAAGCCGGCCGTTGGGAGTGCTTTTGGGCACCCGGGCTTGTCACTTTCAACGGAGCAACTTGTGCTTGGATGTTGGAGGTGGTTTTGCAAAGATACTTTGTGGGCGGAGGTCTTCCAGCCAAGGGGTTTGACGGCTAAGCTTGTGTCCATCTCAACATCTCTGAACCGTAACTACGACGACGGCTCAAGCGGATGGTCATGTGCAGAATTTGGTGTTGGCCATGGCAGGACGAGTATATCAGGGTGGACACTTGGCTGTTTCGTTGTCATTGCTTCAGGTGTGACGAAGTGAGCATGTGGAGGCTCGACTATTGCTTGAATAACGCACGGCATGGAGTCCAGGTTGCGCTTCAGATTCAGGGACGCTATGTCTTGAGGCCGGAATGCTTGGGAGGGTGGAGGTGGCAAGCACGGATCCCGCAACGGAGAACAAAAGGAGGAGTGCATCCCAAATAAATGGAGCATTCGTGCTTCAGCTACTCGGAAGGCTTAAAGAAGAGGAGAGCATCATTGGAAAGCCTTAGGGCCAAAATGCACTGGGTAGTGGAGGCCCCAAGCGAAATTCGAGGGCTCACGCAGAGGCTCAGAGAGCTCCGAAGCTAGACGAGCGATGGCTCCGAAGCTGGAAGTTTCTTAGCATCTCAGATGTCTGTCAGTTTTTCACCTAGTAACTAGAGTTTGTCGTTCCAGGCGCATGCTTCTCTGTCGGTAAGCGACCCAGCTTTCCAGGCTCATGCCTGCCACCCAGGACATATGGCGTCGCGTCAAAGCTCTACTGACCCGGTGAGCTGCCTGGGAACATTTCCGATCGCGAAGGGCTTAGGGGGTGTTGCCACCGCCGGCAAAAAGTGCGGACGACTGCGACAATGGATGGGCCTTGCCATGTGCTTCAGCGGATCAAAGGCCTGAGTGGGCAAGACCAGACTCAACTGTGCCCGTCGCAAGCTTCGAAGAGGTCGTGGAAAGTAGGCTTGTTCAGGCCCCCCGAATGCCCGACTGCAATGGGGGGCTGTGGCTTGGCTGCCACCAGTTGTGCTGACATGCGGCCAAGTTCGCGAAGAGAGATACATAGCTGACCAGCTCACGTGCTTGGAGGCCAATCCAGTCCAAGTTGTGCTGATCCAGCTTACCAGAAGGAGCGATACGCTTTCCAATCAAGCGCAATGCTGGACAATCTTGAAATGTATGTAGGTCGATGCCAAGCCATCCACTGCTGTGGCCCAGCCTCTCGCTAGCGCCTTGACAGCAAGATAGGACTGGAGGCACAGAGTGTGGTAGAGTAGCAGTGGAAGCTGTAAGGGGTCTCAGGCGATGGCACGATGGAGGATCTTGTCTTGCCCTTACCGTTTGTGGTTCGTTGATGCAGTTGAGTGGTAGCAAGCATCAGCTAGACTAGGATTGGTCACTGGACGAAGTCACTGCTAATTCGTGTGAAGTGGGAGTGAGTCGGAGTGTCATGTGGCTGGAGGCAGGGTCGCTGCCCATTGAAACGACGCTGGAATCTTTCGTTTGGGTGCCGCGATGCTTGCTTGTGAAGGGCGCTTTCAAGCACCTCAGAGCTTCTAGCCGTTCTAACCGTGGTGGCCAGGTCGAGGAGGACATGCCGGAGGCGACGAGCATCGGCTTTGAGAAGTCGTCTTAGCGCCGAAGGGTGCTCAACGCTGCCAACTCTCGCCAGGTTGACGATGGTTTCCAACCTGATGTTGACAAGTCAATGCAGCATCTCATCCATCAGGCCACGAGACACACACTTGAAGTTGCCTCCCCAAAATTCTGAGACTCCAAGGAAAAGGAAATCTTCCAACTCGGCCCGGCTCAGGATTGCATTGTATCATGACAGGGCTGTGTAGGTGCTCGCGCCTCCCGGCACCTGAGCTTTTGAACAGCTCAAGGACTATGACGAAACCCTCGCCACGGCAGAGTCTTCTGCGCAGATGCCCTGGATTTGGTTCTTGGTGTTCCCGGGCAGCAACATGGCCATGTCAGCACCAGAGACCGCCAGCTTGTAGCTTGCTGTGGTATTGTATCTGGGTGCAGCGAAGGTTGTGGGCATGCTGGGGCCCTACGGTGTCTGGAAAATGAGATTCAACAGGTGCGAAATAATTAGTGGTTGTGCACGTGTACATCGCTGAGTTCCCGTTGCATCCTTCCCGAGGCTGCAGCTTGGCGTCTGGAACTTTGTCTAGCCAGTCCATCTTCGTGCAGCTCGCGAGCACGAAGTGCACGGTCGCGTCGGCGTACGAACTAAAGATTGAAGTGTGCTGAGGGAGACTCTGGCAGAAGTTGGAGTGTTCCATTCCGTTTGCGAGAACTTCGCCTACGGGTGTGCTTTGGCTTCGCCTTGGCTGCATGTCCCGTGTTGTTATCTGGACACGGACATGTTCAGCTTCTTTCTATGCCACTTGACAGGTGCAGAACAGATTTCCGCACCTCGGCATCACATCAAATTATTCCACGAGTGAAAGGATGTACGCTTACTGGTACTCTACCAAGAAGCAGCCCTAGGCAGAAAAGTGCGGACACGGCACTCGCGAGCTTTTGCGAGGTGGAGTGAACGCACGTGACAGGGGCGCCAGTGGCGATTCTAAACATCATGGTGGGAGCACAATAGCTAGCTTTGGAAAATTCCAAAACCCGTACAGCGGGGTGAAATCGAGACCACATCCAGGAGCGATTACGTGACCCGGGAGCCGAATAGTGTGGCTCTACCAAGATTGCAAGGAACATCGAGAGACCCAAAATTCTATCAACCACCGTCTGGGGAAGCATGTATGCCGAAGATCTGGAACACATCTAGTCCCGCACATGAGGTTCTGACATCTGTCTTCGGAGTGCAGCTCTCAGTTTTGCAGATGGTTGCGTTGCACTCCCCAGTCTTGGCGCAGGTCTGCCAATCTATCGCGTACGGACTTTCGGCACCCATCGGTCTCATGTATGATCTCTGGGGCGCCACCCAGCTAAAGTTTTTGGGCCCAAAGGCTCACGAGTTACATATTTCCGCACGGGTTGGCATTGCGACTGCCGAAAGGCGAAGAAGACGGGAACGACGGGAGCACTAAGCTGCGCAGTGGGGCTGCTTGGACGCTCGGGTTTAGATGGGCCCAGGCCCAGTCCAGCAAGAACGGGGATTGGGGCTCCGGCAGCTACTCTTTCCCAGTTTCCTGGGAACATGGGCCATCCTGGGCCAAGGCTTCTTCTGGCCTGTGGATCCGTCTTCGGTGCTGCATCCGGGCATGCGATCGGCCTGCATGCAGACTTGAGTGTCAAAGCAGCTTGAAACCTGGCATGCACATGCTGCAGTGACTCTGCTCCAGAATCAAGGATGATATTTCTTGTAATTTATTGGCAGTGGGCGTGCCTCGGCTCTACGAGAGACACGTGTTGCAAGTCTGTGGAGCTCATGTCACGAGGCTTTCGGTGGAGCTTTCGCCTTGCATGCTCGTGACTGCATGGCCTGCGCAAGCACGATGAGGTTTTGCTTTGCGACTTCGGTTCTCTGCTTTTCAGTGGCCTGGCGTGCTCACGCTGCCTGTTGGTTTGGACTTGGCCATGTGCCGTATGGCATGACTTACTAGTAGCCCACGGATCGTCAGGCTTCTCCCTCGCTGGTTTCGTCTGGCACATCCCACATCGGCAGACTCTGGTTATCGCCCTTATCAGCTCGACGTCACCGCCTTGGCTTATGGCTCGGGCACTTACCACATGCGCGAGCCTATCGCCGAAGAACGGGTCGAAGCGTAGCTGAACATCTAAGGTATCAAGCATCTGCTGCACTGCCGATTCTCCTGCAAGCCGAAGCTTGAATGAATTGAGAGCTTGAATTTGCCAGCCCAATCTTGATCTGCTTTCCTACAGCAGCTAGTGTAGTATGCTGCTGCTCTTTTCTAGCTCGTAACTCAGCTGAGGGCATCAAATGGTTAGAGCTGCCCCTGCACTTAATGATGCTCGCTTGGGCGGCCGCAGTTTTTGCAGCTGCGGGTGTTTGCTCTGTCGTGCTCCCCACGCAGATCGAGCTGCTTGGTGGAGTTGGCTGATTTTGACTGCCGGTGAGAGCAACTGCCGAACTCGTGCCGTTATCCGATCAGGTTTCTCGAGCAAGCAAAACATGTTCTTGGAGTGCCGCTGCCGAAGCTTGGCTGCTGCATGAAACAGAAACCTACCCATGACCTTTGTCACAGATGTTGAAGCATGCCGGAGTGTGCCACGCTAGATCTTCTGCCTGGCTTTGCAGATGGCCTCGCCTAGAAGCCCCGGGCTTCAGTGAGCATCTCAGGAAGCCTGGTGGCACCAGAGTGTCAGGGCCCCAGCAAATGCTGCTGCATTGGATCGAAGAGGCGGCGGTTGGTGCAGCGACCGAGGCCCGAGATGATCTCGCGAGCTGTCGGGATTGTTCGCGTTCATCTCGCAGATCATCTTGTTTCTGGTCTTGCCTTAGCTTCAGCGCTCGTGCACCTCGGCGAGACTTGGTTCAGAAGAGAGCTCTTTGCAATCCTTTTGGGTTTTGCATTTTTTTGATTGCAAGGCTGCCCGCGCTTTACTCCTCTCTGGCAGTTACTTGACATGCAGAGGGTAGCTCCAAACACTGCCCTTCTGCGGTTGCGGGCGCAGGCTCCCTATGGAGAGCTGCTATTTGGCCATAAGTCTGATGGCAAGATGCCACTTGTCCTGACCACTGCAGCGAGCTATAGGGCTCCCACCTACCCGATGAGAGGCTCCAAAGTAGAGAGGCTCCAAAGTAGACAGAAGTTGCTCGAATTTTGCTCCATGCAACGTGGTACGGTCACAGCATGTCACAGCAGAGGCTGGTGAAGATCAACGTTGTGGGCAGTGCAGTCGTTGGTGGCCCAGACTTTTGCCGTCTTTGGCGGCCGCTCCCTTTGTAGTGAAGATGTCGGGATGTGAGGCCGGTCTTCTCCTGGCTCCTCTGGCTGGAATGCTTGCGGACGGCTTTGGCCTAGAGGCGAAACGTCGAGAGCTCATCCGCCTCTCCCTTCGGGTCCCTGGAGGCCTTCACCGTTCTTCTCGCAGCCTCGGCGTTGGTGGCCGCGGTCACCGTGGGCATCGCATCCTGGCCAGCTCAAGCTCTGTGTACGTCCGGCCCACAGAACTCTTCCAGTCACGGTCTTGTTGTTGATCTGGTCACCCCCCGTCCGTCTCCAGCGAGGTCATCTGCAGTTCTGTTTACAAGCTGCTTGTCAATCTACGTCTGGCGATACACACTTCTGCTCCTTGGACAGATACTCATAGAAGCACATACAGCGGCGGCATGCCAAATTCACTTGCGGCTGTGCAGGTACTCGCCGCCCAGTCGCTTTGGTACTGTTCAGGGCATCTTTTCAACAGTCTGGTCTCCCGGCCTTGCTTCAAGCAGAGCGCAATTGCACCTGTACAGCGTGAGCTGAGGCCCTAATCATCGTCAGTACACTGCTGTCGGTTGCTGGAATGGCCGCCCCCTGTTCGCACCGTTTCTTAGCAGCACCACTTCTGTGCAACTGAGTGGATGGCAGGCCATCTCCTTACGGCCTCCAGGCAAGCACAGCAGCTGTTGGCAACGTGCCTGTTCAGCCGCATGAGCTCCCGATTCCGCAGCGCAGCAGGCCTGAACGAGTATCGAGTCTCGATGCTCGCCTGTGGGCTGTGGGTGTCCCAATTGGCGTGCACTCTTAGCACAGTACTGTCGTGGGTGAAGACTGAAAACCAGGATGGGTGCGGTTCTTATGGCACACTATGCGCCGTACCTGGAGTCTAGAGTATGGCAGACGTGCACATGCGCCCCTGAATCCCGGTAAGTTTCCCAGTTGCAATCAGGTCGCATATATCAGGCGCTACCCGCCACCAGACTGTCCTACCATGTTGCCCGAGGACGAGGCTGGTAGAGGGGGAGCTTTGTGCAATGTGCTCCACCGAAAACGTCCCCTGCCAGGCCATGCTGGCAAAGAGCTTTGGATGCGGAAACTTGGATGAGGCTGAATCAGTTATCTCTCGCGCACGTCGTGTGGGTTGGGCAAGATTGCCAGGTTTGTGAAGTGACTCGAGTGCGAAGAAAGTCCATCCTCATCAAAAAGATGGGCTCGAACCGCTCGGAGGCGGTGTGCGTATCTGTGAGCAAACCACCGAGCCTAATGTCGATCTGCACCTTTTAGGGTGTTGCACACCCGGTGTAATCCCAAAGTTTAGCCTTCAGTTTTGACTGCTGCTGGATCCAGGACTTGCTCAGCCTCCTCGCGGGCATGGACGTTCACAAGTTGATGGAGCTGGGAAGTTGATTCTGTCTGCTGCATCTGCAATGTAGAGTCCTCTGGCCATATTCCCATTTACTGAAGCCTTTTGGTCGAGACTGAGCCCGTGTTCATTGGCACCGGCTTGTCTTCGACAGCAGAGTACTGACATGTCATGCCAAGTGCAGGAGATGATGCCGCGGCCTCGAATGGTTTGTTCAATGAACATGTCGCACTACATTCAGAAGGTTGAGGATTTCCCTGCCCTCAGCAAGAGGCTGTCTGGGAGCGTAGTTGTCTGGCGGAAGTGATCCAGAGAACACGTACACCTGGCGACTTGCCATTTCGGCGGAGATGAAACATGACTGGCATCCGGGTCCGTGTTGCAGAACATCGTGTGAACTTCGCTTTGGGGCGAAGTTCTTCGGAGTTGTGGTCGGCAGAGCCGATTCCAAAGTGGTTCGAGCCTGGGACCTGGGCTAAAGGATGCTAAAGTTAAAGGTGCGAGGACTAGGTCAAGAGGTGTTGCAACTCTGAGCAGAAGCCAATTTGGGCCCTTTTCTTTCTGTCTCTTTGGGCCTTTCTTCGTGCGAGATTGGGTGCGTCTCTGTCGCAAAGGTGCCCTCGCACAAGGTAAACATGATGTCATGGGAAGGGGAACCTGCAAAGCTGATTGCTTTCCGGAATCATGCCTTCGTCTATAAGGTGATCGTGAGTCCAGCCGTCGTGGGGTGCACATGTCGTCAGCTCCACATCTGTTTCATGCCCTTGGCCTGGCATCCAAATTGAAGCCATGCTTAGCAAACTTCGAAAGCAGCACCTCAACGGAAGGCAGGTAAAGCTTTGAACCTGGGTGGTCCGAACCAGTGTCCGATTTTGACTTTTTTTCTCTATCTTTCCCGCGCTGTCGGGGTGTGGTGAATCCGCTCAGGGCGAAGCGGCCGGTTGAAGACATCGCTGCTTTTTGGCTGCACAGCCAATATCCTCGCAGCCGGAGTGAATGGCATTGAGTGTGCTGGAGGCAATGATGGAAGAGGAGGATTCTGTTTTTCAACAGGCGACTGCTGAGATTCGCACGCAAGCGCCCCGCTTCCCGAGATGTGCTGTTGCAGGAAGTGGAGGAGAAGCACCCCGGGCCTGAAGCGTTGGTGGCAGAGTCCAGCAGCGTAGCGGAGCCGCAGGCCCAAGGGCCCGCGTGAAGTCCGAGAGTTGCCGTACGGCCATGCACCGCAGGCGGGCGTCCGGGATCGAGCGCGGTACCTGGCCAGGCCAGCTGCTCGGGTTTGGCCGCCTGATCAGACACAGCTTTTCGCGGAGCAGGCTCGTGGCCGCTGCTGATGCTCAGGCCCGAAAGTTGTTTTTGTGCCAGGTTTGCGAGAATTAAGAGTGGGGCAAGCTAGCTGCACATGCATCTGATGCGCGCAAGATGTGCCAGGCTGATGTTAACGACGAATGTAGGTATATTCTGGAGTGGCAGGGGGCAGGGGATGGTGCGCGCATAATTCTTTGGCTTGTATCTGCTCCCGAAGTCAGGTCAAGCGGTGTTAGGGGTCGTGACGCGGGTGTGGTTGCAGATGCAGATGGTGTGGGTGTGGGTTGGGTGGGTGGGTAGCCTCGGTACATGTGGTGCAGGAACTGTGTTTCGAGAAAACACAAAGCAGAAGGTGCCAGGGCATTGTTGCCTTCTCGTGGGACTTACTTACAATCCGATAGGAAGTGTTTGTAAGGCTGTAGATGTCTCTCGACACGCGGTGCTGAGTACCGTAACTATACTTGGATTTGCTTTAAGCTTTTCGGTGTAGTCGGAAACTTGCGATTTTATGGCAACCACTTGCCATACGGTGGTCGCTGCATGTCGCCCGACTTAGACCATTACCGATTAGTTTCACAGTAGACGCCTCTGGGGTTCTATTCTCATCTTGACAGACGGTTTCCATAACTCCACACGATTGCCCATGTATTTGGACTGTATATGCATTGCACAGGCAATTTTCATGTTGCATCGGTCATTGGGACCCCAATGCCGCTTACTCACTAACACAGGGGGTGGGTGGGCGGGCCAAAGGCCTGAGGGTCGAGCGATCGACCCC